CAAAGACTAGATTTTAAGCAATTCGCCCAACATTAATGCACACAATCATATGTGTATTCTGTAGTAGCTTGTGTGTATTTACGAAGGGTCTCACATGAATAGGTAGATACACTTGAATATTAGTGTGTATATATATATATATATATATATATATATATATATATATATATATAATCAAGTTGAAATAAGAACTAGTAGCTCCCTGAGAGTATACGAACTAATCTTATTTGTCAATTTAAAATGATCAAGAATTAGAAATTTATGAAAAATTTAAAAATGTGGTGATATTTATGTAATTATGACGGTGTATTTAGAAACTCTTGATAGTGCATCTAATAACTAATAGTACGTTCACAACATGTAAGCACTATTATATTATAGATCATGAGTATAATATTAACTATCTACTTATCTACAGATGTATTGTCAAACATTTCTAAATACATACATTATAATAGTTACATAAATATTACTGTATTTTCTTTAATTTTTAATCTTTGATCATTCTATATGAATGAATGGGATTACTCTACAAGTTTTCACGACTACTACTTACATGGTCTGCCCATAATCTTCGTATATTCCTAACCCATCCTTCTGAATTGGTACGTGTCATGCTTTAAACAGTTGCACTTCCTCTACTTTTCATGCTCTTTTTCCCACTTTCTTTCTACACCTTCTATACACACAATTAAATTAAATATAATTAAAGTTAGTGACATGATTTGATAACTCCAAGGTATGCATGGAAAATTCAATTCATTGAACATTAATGGACGTTCCTTATTTAATTCATATCATGCATGTCCTGAAATATGGTACAGTACTACATTCTTGCATAATCGTAGTGTGTTGTGTGCATATATGTGATCAAAATATCCCCACTTCAACTTCGAAAGATTCTGTAAGAGGATTGGTTGAGTGTTACTTTGAGTTCATGAGAAAAAATTTCAATTGCTACTTAAACATGTGTTTTAGGCAAAACTCGTCTTATATAATTCATTCTAATGAGTTAATACCCGATTTGGTCCCCCGACTATTAGCATTTCACCACTTTAGCCCTCGACTTCTAAACTTGCTCAATTTCATTCACAATTATACAATTGTTAACCAAAATGGTCATAATCAGGAATATTTTATAAGTTTAGACAAATGACTATTTTAGTATTTTAGGTAAAAATTGCATAGTTGGGGATAAAATTGAACAAGTTTGAAAGTTGATGATCAAAGTAGTGAAATCTTAATAGTCGATGGACCAACTCGAATATTAACTCTAATTCTAATTGTCAAAAGATCACAAAAAGTGAAACTGTAATTATTAACTTGTTATTTTAGTATACACTTATTATTAACTTTTTCATATTAATTTTTATTTAAATTTAAAATTTTTTAAATTTGACGGGTCCCGCCAAGACCCGCGGGCCTACAGCGGGGTGGGACGACCTCCCTTAGGCCCGTATTTTGACGGGCTTTTTAGCCCGTCCCGGCAAATGGTGAGCTTTGGCGGCCCCCGTCTCGCCGACCTATTTCGATAGCTCTAAATGTAGGCCAGACAACATACAAGTTTATTTTTAACATACTGCAAGTTTAACCTGTAATACACTGAAAATAAAATTATAGTATATTAAAATAAATTTGTATAAGCGTTTCACCTTACAATATAGACCATGATCTACCGTATAATTTGACATAACTATTGCACCTTAACCCATCAAGCCTAACCCAATAAATTAGGCATATTTGGTCCAAAACCCAAAAGCCTAGCATATCGATCCATAGTTAAATTGCACTCATAGTTAAATTGTTGTCACAGCACAATAGAACATTATCTTATTGCTATTAATTTCATGATTATGTTTGGTGACTCTTAAAATTTTTAAATTAAAAGTTCTAGAATAAATAGAAGTTTTGATGAATACTTTACATGGATATGATTTTTACTAGCTATTTGTACTGTTACTCGGGCTTGTCTTGGCAGCTACCAACTGCTATGTGAATATATTTTGCAACCCAGGAAAGGTTCCACCTTTCTTGTCTGATGTTTTATCCTCAAAGGATTCCAATAGTGACAGTTAAATAACCTTTTCAATTTGATGTGCAAATTCATGTTGTGTTTGTGGAACAACGTTTGTGTACCAATGAAAAAGCATAAAGATGGAATATAATTTATGGAATTTTGTATATGGTGCTAACAAAATTGGATACAACAATGTAATACTGTGTAATTTGGTGCACTGGTGGGTATTGTCACCATGCATGGAGGGCACCTTGTTAATAGTGACTTACTATAATTATGTATATCATATATGGTTGTAATATGATATTATTAGTATTGATATCAATTAGTATCATTAAAAAAAATCATATTCATAGTATGCAGGGCCTTGAAAAGAATAGTCATGTAAAGTATAATTCGCGTACTTAAAAGATATTATTGCCAACACTCTTTTGGTCAAATTTATCACATAATAAGGTCTTTCTACTACGGTTTACCTCTGTGTGATTTGCAGGCTATTACACACAAACGAATTTACCCTATGCACATGCATTCCACCCTCGTGTAGTGACTGCGAGCTTTTCTCGTCACCAAAATATAGTATGCAGCGCTAACCTAATTAAACCTAGCCCTTGCCAGCCAAGGGAGAAAGGAAAAAGTAGCCCAATTATTCAAGTCATACGTACTCAAGGAGTTTTACTACATGGACTCTCAATCTCAACTATCTCACTTTGATTCTCTTATGTGGCAAAAGATTATAAGTTATCTTCATCTTGTCGATTCCAAGAAAAATGTCAATATTAAAATTTTGACGAACAATAATATTGACAGATCACATGACCACTTATTTTAATTAATTTTATTTTGATTGTGGGATGTCTTTTTCCCATGATGGGACTCAAATCGAAAAGAGGATAAGGGTGAATTAGGACGATTCATTTTATTCTATAATTTTTTTTTTAATTATTTTAATTTGTTTTTAGGGTTTTCATGGCTGATATTTGAAGCCCAAATAGTATTATTTGATGTGCATATATATATATATATATATATATATATATATATATATATATATATATATAGATTCTGTAATTTGTGTTTAGATTCCTTTAGTGGTTTTTTTATCCAAGTATTTAAAATATTTTTGTTATATATTAGTACCAAGCTAGCTAGCTAGGATAATGGATTCTTGAGTGGACAATTCAAGCAAAATATTCTTCTACTATTTCCAAGTATATATGTTTTGTTTAATTTTCTTCATAATGATGTCAAACATGTTATATTCCATTGTCTTTTTGTTCTAAATATGGAATGCTTGTGCAAAACCATCCTTTTAAAAATTGTTTATAGTAATAATATTCATAGTATATATGCCACGATTTTAAAATTATTAGCTATGCGAGAATGAAGTTACACATCGTGTTCCTTACATATGATGCTATATATATGCATGGTCGGTCCAAACATTTTATAAATTTGGGATAAAATTTTTTAAAACGCCCCCTATATGAAGAATTAAAATTAAAATTTAATAATACTAAAAAAAATGATAATATCAAATAACATAAAATAAGATTAAAAAATTAAGTTTTGAATGATTTAAGTTTTATATGGTCCTGTTTATTGAACTTGTTAATTAAGCTTCTGATTTAATTTCTCAATTCTCATTGTCCAGCCATAACTTATAGCCTAATCTGCAATTCTGCAAACTAAATTTCTAATTCCAAAATGACAATTCCTAATCTACAATTCTGCAATTCGCCAATTATATTTCGCTAATCTGCAAACTAAATTCCTAATTTATTTAATTATTTAAATAGCAAAGTGACAATTAGGAATTTAGGATTCCAAAAACAACAATACAACAATACGGCCTAATATGCATTAAACAATTCTGCAAACTAAATTCAACCAAATCATAGTTTTCAAAAAAAAAAAAAAAATAATAATAATAATAATAATAATAATAAAATCTCAAATCATAAAATACCTTTACAAATTGCAATTGCAGATTAGGCAAGCGATTAGGGCATTAGGTGAAACCATGAATGCACTGCGAAGAGTCCGGAGATGATTAGGCGAAGGCGTGGCGACTAGCAAGCCGGTGAACTAGAGAGTGGCGAAGGCGCCGCGAAGCACCGACTAACCGGAGTGACCGGCGATTGTTGATGGTATGGGTGAATAGGTAGATTTGTAAAGAAGATTTGTTACTTGACGATTGTCGATTGCCCATTGTTATTTGGCTTCTGAGCTTTTAATGAATTCATTATTACCGTTGAGAAGATTTGAATGGTTGTTGTGGCGTAGGCACGATCGATGAGGCGGCGACTCTTACCCTCCTGGGCGGCGTAGGTGTGCGACGTCTCTTCTTCGATTCTTCCATCTTCTCGACTTCGATCAAATTCAAAAAGCAATTAACCAATATTTTTTAATATATACTCGGTACTAAGTAATATATATATATATATATATATATATATATATATATATATATATATATTATATATCTTATGGCCTATAGCCCCCTCTAGAGATGGATCTTGGGCATGGATCCAGCCTTTCCTTGCCACCTAGGTCGATTTGTATTTTTTGCAACAATAAGAAAAAGTGGGGTCAATTAATCTATAAACAGGTAACGAAAGGGAGTCATATGTAGTATTGTAGACTTGTAGTACATGATCTTGGAGGAACAAGGTCTCTATATATCTTGGGCTAGCCCATATCGTATTCGAGGCCTAGTTTCACTCATTTACCCATCAAATGGTTGCTTCAGCCCAATACCTTTCTTGGGTCAAACCCAAGAAAATCCCGCACCATCACTAGGTGAAAGGGGAATTGGGCAGGCCCACTTATTAAATACTCCATCTGGCCCATCAGCTCATTCTTTTATTATTTTGGGCCGTAGTTGAGAATATAGATTTGAGAGACAGCTAAGCCGACCCAATCCGTGTAGAACTCGGAGTTCGGACTCTTACCATTTAATGTCGGGTCGTGGATTAAAATCCCTACTGATTCAAAAGGTCCTTTCTACTCTCCACACAAATCAGACATCCAACTTTGATCTGAGAGACATAATTTCCGGCGAGTCGCGGCATAGATGTATAACGGAATCGGTTTACCGACGGCCCGGGGCTCCGGGACGAACGGTTATGTGCAGACAAACAAATTTTTTGTGAGGTCGAAGACCAACAAGGTGCTAGTGGATGGCGCGAGGGGTTTTGGGGCGGATCAGGGAACCGCCGGCATGACGCGGAAGCCTAACAAGGAGATTCTGGAGCACGACCGTAAACGCCAGATCCAGCTCAAGCTGCTCGTCCTCGAGGAGAAGCTCTCCGAGCAGGGATACACCGATGCGGAGATCGCTGAGAAGTTAGAAGAGACTCGGAAAACCTTAGAGGCTGCCGCCGCGTCTGAAGCTGCCGGTGGGCCAACCGCTCATTCTGCTTCATCATCTGAAAGGTAACGATACCGATACCGGTCTTACTTCTCCTTCCTAGTATTTTGTTTAGACTATTTAGGTTGAAAATGTATTACGCCGCATATATCAGTAGCTTCATTGTTTTGAATAGTGTTGTTGACACAGATTTGAATATTGCACTTGAAACGTGAAGGATTTATGTGGGACTAATAGAAAGAAATGAGAGGAAAGTTGGTGCGTTTTCTCCCTATTGATGATAAATTTATTTACATGGTAATAATCGAAAGAGAATGAAGAGGAGAGTTAATGCTTTTTCTCCCCTTTGATAGTAACTGCTTGGAATCTTCTTAAGAATAGTTAATAATCGAAGTGGCTATTGTGAAAATTTAACTTGCTGAGAAACCTTGTCACTTTTTACATGTTCATCGGGCCAGCATTTTTATTCCTCATATGGTTGTTTAAAGTTGGCATAAGAACTAACATATTTCAAGATGTTTTAGGGTCTCTGAAACACAAACCCACCAAATTGCTGCCTTGAAGGTAAAACAGATGGAGAAATTGAAAGCAGCACTTCGGATAGGAGCTGAAAACGAGAATCAAAAGAAACAGCCTGATCCTACTCTAGCTCTGGATTCTGTGTTGAGTGATGATGAAGATGATAGGGCAAAAAATCATAAAAATGATGGGGGGAAGGATACAAGAAGAGGGAAAGATGAGCCTAAGCATCACAAAAAGAAAGAAAAGAAGGGAGACCATGAGGATTCCTCTGATAGTGATAGTGGTAAGGAGAGCATTGAAAGGATGAAGAAAAAGAAGAGCAAGAAAGGTCATAGAGAGTCTGATTCCGAAATTGATGTTAAGAAGAGGTCAAAAAAAGCTACAAGGAAGCACAGTAAGAGTAGAAGATACGATAGCTATTCTGATTCTGAATCTGGATCTAGTTCTGGTTCTTCCTCCGAGTCTGATTATGAGGATAAACGTTCAAAATCTAAAAAAAGACATGACTCTGATGACGATGCACAGATGAAACGCCAAAAATCTGATAAAAATCATAGTTCTGATGATGCATCTGATAAAAGGCAAAAATACAAAGTTCAAAAGGGGAAACTGCCTGAATCTGAAACTGATAGTGATCGGGATAGCAAAAAGTATCAATTGGCAAGGAAAATAAATTCCTCGGAACAAAGCAAAGGGTACTTGGTAGATAAAGATGGCTCTATTGCTGATGACACCAAGAGAAGTGCCAAAGAGAAACAGAATCGGAGTCGGAGAAAGTATGAATCAGAAAGTGACTCTGGTTATGAGAGAGAAGCAAGAAAGAAAAATGAAAAGATGGGAAGTAACAGAAATGATAGTGATGAGAATAGATATGATGATGGCCATGAAAGAAAACACCAGAGAACTCAGAAAGTTAAAAAACATGACTCTGAGGATGAATATGATAGTGACCATGTTGTAGAGGAGAGGAAATTCCAAAGAAGTAGAAGACATGAATATGATGGTGACTGTGATGTGGAGGAGAAGAAATTCCAAAGAAGTAGAAGGCATGAATATGATGGTGACCGTGATGTGGAGGAGAAGAAATTCCAAAGAAGTAGAAGGCATGAATATGATGGTGACCGTGATGTGGAGGAGAAGAAATTCCATAGAAGTAGAAGGCATGAAGATGATAGTGATGATGATGTGAAGGAGAAGAAATTCCAAAGAAGTAGAAGGCATGACTCTAGTGATGATGAACATGATAGGAAATACCACAAAACTCGGAGGGCTGAAAGACATGATTCTGAGGATAAATCTGACAGTGACAGTGATGTGAAGGTGAAGAAAGTCCAAAGTAGTAGAAGGCACGACTCTAGTGATGATGATCATGATAGGAAATACCACAAAGCTCAGAGGGTTGAAAGGCATGATTCTGATAACCATGATAGGAAATATCACAAAACTCAGAGGGTTGAAAGACATGAATTTGATGGCCATGATAGGAAATATCACAAAACTGAGAGGGTTGAAAGACATGATTCTGAGGATGGATCTGACAGTGGTAGTGATGTGAAGGAAAAGAAGATCCAAAAAAGTAAGCGTCATGACTCTAGTGATGATGATAGTGATGCTAGCAGTGATCATCTTATCAGGAGCAACAGTGAAAGTGATTCAGATAACAAGAGTAATTATCGTAAACACGGGCAGACTGATAGGAGGATTAAGTCCAAGGAGAAGAGTGGAAGTGGTCATGTTAGTGATTCTGGTGGCAGAGGAGAACCCAGGAGGGGTAGAGGTCATGCACTAGAGGATGATAAGAAAAAAGAAGTGGATTCTGGATTGGACACATTCAAGAAGTTAGAACAGTTGCGCCAATTGAGAGCAGATATCACAGATGGGTCAGGGAGTGGTGATCAAGAGCTTTCTAGAGGCAAGAGGAAGCTTGATGCCAACCAATTCGATGAGCAACTAAAAGCTAAGTCAAGAAAAAGGGAATCTACTAAAGAAGAAGAGTCCTACAATGCAAAGGTTGAATCTGAAAAACATACAGACCGGGATTATTACAGCAAAGATTCACGATCAGCAAGATATGATGGAGGTCACAGGGGAGGTAATGGTGATCAAGATGTCACAACTCGTAGGAATGAGTCTCAGCGTGAAAGTCGGGGAGGCGATGGGGATTTTTCTAGGTATGGAGAGGATAGAAGAGAAAGCAGGAATGATGATGACAGACAGGGGAGGAAACACAAAAGAGATGATGATGAACATGAAAAACATGGAAGAGAGCGTGAAGAGGAGAGTGGCAGTAGACGGCGTGAGAGAGATAGAGAATATGATTCTTCCAAGAGAGCAAGATATGAGGATTCACGCTCTACTGGAAGAAGAAGACACGATGATGAGAGGTATGATGACCGGAGATCAAGGCGTTGATGATGCACTGTATCTGATCCCAGAAATGTCTAGAGGTGAGCTACTCTTGCCTGTATATTGGGGATTGCTAAAATACATTATACTTGAAATCTTCCTTTGTCAAAATTTGTATCATTATGTTGTGTGCCCGCATTATTCTTTACTTATTATTATCATACTTTCTGAGTTTCAAATATAACCCTGTGGTTCTAGGATGGTCTTGGATTGCTCACAATGTTTACTTATTCTTTTATAGGTTCCCTGTGGTTCTCTGTCAAGTGGCACCTGGCCAAATTGCTGTACTACATTACCCGATGCTTGGGTTAGGGAGTTGCTGTTACAAATTATCTCTTTTTTTTTTTTATCTGCTTTTTGTTCAATATTATATGTCGTTCCAACACTAATTTTTGACGGATCTTGGTTGTGTTTGCACAAATCCACCTGTTTTCACTCTTCACTATGTATGAATTGTATGCTTTACATAAGTATGAATTGTGGGTAGGAATCCCCTTTTTTTGATTTGCCATTTCTTGCTACTTGCTGGTTTAAGCTGGAGTCCTACATCCCATTCCCATTTCACCTTGAACTTAACCAAATGAGTGCTGATTTGCTGATAGTCTCTCATGGATCTTCATAACTCTTTATAATTATACATTTCAACTTTCCAACTTATTACTAAAGTCCTGTTTGACATTAGGGATCTTTACACTTTACACCAGTGATGTGGTTGATTAATATTGATTCTTTAATAGAACTTGTTAGCATATTCATTAATTTTTCATTTTGACATCTATAGCTGCAAAATCTGCTATGAGTTATTTTACCTAATTAAACTGAATTTATTCCGCATTTGATCCCCGACTTCAATTAATGATTACAAATTAAAATAAAATATATTACTCCTTTGTTTCATTGTAGTTGTCTTACTATTTATCAGTCCAATTAATTTTTAGTCTTGCAAGTACGACAATACGAGCAATAAGGAGTCAGGAGTACTTTACATCACTTGAGTTGTGAGTAGTGGTATATTAACTTTCTTGATTTGTGCTAGTTCTAAGTTAGTTTATCTTTTTGTGGTCATTTGACGGTCACAATATGGGTTTCACCTAAACTATATATATCCAAATAATAGTTATAGCCTTTTTTTGTAAATCAAAGTATGTCATCACTTGAGTTTAAAAATTAGTAAAAGTTAAAAAGTAGAGATTGAAAATATAGATCATGTTTTTTCATAAAATTATCATTTAACCTCTTAAAACTTTTACTCCGTATCTATTTTCTTTATTTATGCATTATTGTATAAAAAAATGTCAATACTCACTCTTCATAGTATAAGATTTTTTAGTGTAATTTATGTGATTATATACAAGTAGAGTCCATCCCCGTATACATCATCAAGTGGTTCATGGTTGCGAGTTTTCAATTTTTATTGATGGAAAAAAAAAATGATTGTAGCACGTGAGTGTTTTCTAGTAAAGTACGGAGTCTTTTAAGTTTTATCACCTCTTCTATATTCGTGTGCCTGCAACAACTACAAGGCGTCATCTTCCAATCATCCTTAAAAGAAATCTCCGGTGATGGCGACAGCGGGAGTGGTCGCCGCGATATTCCTCCTGGTGGCGGTGTACTGTGCCGTAGACCCATTCAACCACAGCCCATTGTCGGGCCTCCCGGACTTCCACGCCTACAAAGTAGACCTGCCGCCGTGGTCCGAGCTTCCGGTGGAAAAGGACACTCAGAATCTGCTTCAGAAGTCGGAGCTCAAGTTCTTGAACCAAATTCAAGGCCCGGAGAGCATCGCCTTCGACCCCCATGGCCGCGGGCCCTACACTGGCGTCGCCGACGGGAGGGTTCTGTTCTGGAATGGGGACAAGTGGATTGACTTTGCTTATACCTCCCCCAATAGGTGAGTCAACTCGTTATCTTCGAGATTAGCTTTTCAACCCATTTTCAGTACTGCAATGGGGAGAAACATATGGAAAAACTGGATTTTGCCCTTTGCTAGTTTTAAGGTTTCATTGTTTTACTTAGGAATCTGATATCTATTTAAAGTTGTCAAAAATCTGTTCTTTGGATTGAGGTGGCTGCTCTAATGCTGAATTGGATCAATAATCATGCTAATACTTCATGGACAAGTCTTTTAAATTTGAAAGAGAAATGGTTACTGGAGCATTTGCATAAGACTATAAAGAGTATATATGGTTCATTAAGACTACTCCTAGACGTGAAACTAGCCGACATTGTCTTAGTTGTCATAGCGGTTATTTGTTCCCTAATGATATGTCCCAAGGGACCTCAACTATGGGGAATGTTGAGGTTCAATGTTATACAATAGATGAAGAGATGCCTGTTTAGAGATTTTTATTCTGTTTCGGTATATGTTTTCAGGTCTAGTATATGTGATCCGAAGCCAAACCCAACGCCTTTCAGCTACGTTAAGAATGAGCACGTCTGTGGCAGACCTCTGGGGTTACGGTTTGACAAAAGAACGGGTGACTTGTATATTGCAGATGCCTACTTTGGGTTGATGAAGGTTGGGCCTGAAGGTGGTCAGGCAATGTCCCTAACAACAGAGGCTGAAGGAGTTCCTTTTCGATTCACAAATGATCTGGATGTTGATGACGAAGGGAACGTTTATTTTACAGATAGCAGCATCAATTATCCCAGGAGGTAACTTAATGTAATGGCTCTGTTTGTCAGAGCTTATTTAGGAGCTTATAGCTTATTTTAAGCTACTAATGAGCTATAAGCTCTGTTTGGTAATGTTTCCAAACTATAGTAGCAAACAGAGCTTATTTAGGAGCTTATAGCTTATTTTAAGCTACTAATGAGCTATAAGCTCTGTTTGGTAATGTTCCCAAACTAAGTTAGTAGCTTAATGTGTGCACATGGAGAATCGGGATTCCTCTTCTGATGGGTTTAAATTGTCTTGGAACAGCCTTTTGAATGACCATACTCCCTCGTTAACTACTTAAACTTCTGTTTTGATGTCTTATATTCGTGTGTCTTATATAAATCAAATTATATGATGACAATTCCTAAGTTTCTCCTTTCTTGTTTTCAGGAATTTTTTTCACCTGTCTTTCTCAGCAGAAGATACTGGGAGAGTTCTCAAATATAATCAAAGAACAAAAGAAACCACTGTTCTCCTCCGCAATATCCAATTCCCGAATGGTCTGTCTCTAAGTAAGGACGGGTCCTTCTTTGTATATTGCGAAGGTTTAATGGAAAGGTGCGTTTCCTCACCTTTTTCTATGTGTGGGGGCAATAATAGAATAAATTCATATAGTATATACATATCGTGTGTGTGTGTGTACAATATTGTGGAACATTTGAGACAATCTAGTGTCTGAACTTTCAATGCTCGTGTTCTGAATGACTAGTCAATTGTTGTTTATGCTTATCGTGTGGTATGGTAGACTATTGAGGTAATTGTCAATGTACCATATATTCTTTGTAGGTTGAAGAAGTATTGGCTGAAAGGCGAGAAAGCAGGGACCTCGGAATTAATGGCTGTCGTGCCAGGATACGCTGACAACATTAGAGCAAATGAAAGAGGCGAATTCTGGGTAGCAATCCACTGTCGTAGATCCGTTTACAGTTACATATCCGGTTTGTATCCCAACCTGCGTAAGTTCTTGCTGAAGCTTCCAATCCCATTGAAGATCCATTACCTCCTCTACATAGGGGGGCGGCTCCATGGGACGATCGTGAAGTATAGCCCGGAAGGCAAGGTTCTGCAAGTACTGGAAGACAGCCAAGGGAAAGTTGTCAAGGCGGTAAGCGAGGTAGAAGAGAGGGATGGGAAGCTTTGGATTGGAAGTGTTTTGATGCCTTTTATTGCTGTTTATCAACTAGACTAGATTGAACTATTGAAGCTCTCCATTAATGGCACCTTCTAATGGAAGATGGATTGTACCTTAGGGATTAGGCCTCCCTATCCAATTTTTTGGGTTTAGGTGTATGCTCCATTCCTTCATTTCTATATTTATGGTTTTATATGAAACAATGATGATGTATATATTATGGAGTATTTATCTTCAAACGTATTTCTTGATGGTTGTGTGTAGCCATTTGCCAATTGTGTTATCTTCCTTCCAAAGGAAAATGCTCATTTTTTTACGAGACAAAATGCTTTTTTTTGGATGAACAATCTAGGTTGCGGATAGCTTATTGATTCATATTAAGAAAATCAATGATCGCACCTATTGACAAAAATTTAAAATTTAGTGGTTATCAAAGTGATTGTCCACATGAGACAAGTACTTAATTTACACACTTAGTTTACCTTTTGATTTTCTAAATTTTTATATTTTACATGTTTGAGAAATAGGAAATTCACAAAAAAAAAAAGAAGATATTTGATAAGTATTCCCGTCCATATTTTGTTGCATACATGTCCGGTCCCGGTCTCCCTACTTGATAATGTCATTCTCGAGCATGACCAACCTCAAAACTAGTCGACATGTACCATTTGTATTATCGAGCAAGTTTCCACTCAGCGGCAATACCTGACCATATTAGGACGGGACTGACTATTCGACCTGCACTTAGGCCATAATAACGTGATCTAAGGGAGTCATGCATCTCAAAACACATGGAGGGATCTGCATAGCCTCCGACCTTGCTATGTGCATGAGTTCCACGTGCCATACATGTCGGGGACCAGCATGTACTCACTTGCATCTCCTATATATACCGCATTAAATGTGATAAGAGTAGTCTTTTGGCATCTCCATTCATATCTTGAGCTCGGGACCCTTCGATCCACTATTGAGTAACTCGAGTCACCCTACATAAACCAACAAGCGGACTTGAACATAATTTTTATACGGTCCAACCATCATACTTTACTTATATGTAGGAGTTATTGTATTTACTACCTCAATATTATTAACAAATAAATACTCAATATAATTGTCAACTCTAGAAGAAATTTTCAAATTGAATGAATCGAATATGTTTCCTGGATTAGTTTCATAATAGTAAAAATATTGAGATACTATATATTAAATTAATGGCAAAAACGCCAAAAAGGATATTCCCCACACGTAATAAACAAAGATGAATCTCTAACCCACAGATTATTTACAGTAAATTACCTCAACACCATCATCCGACGGCTATAATCATTTCGAAAACCTGAGCCCTTGATTTCGCCATTGATGGAAAATGGCGCTTCTTCCCCTAGTAGCTTGAATACGCTTTCGCATTAAACCAATAACCGATATTAAAACCCTTTCTCCGCTTCAGCTGCGACACAGAGAAACGTCCGCGGTAAAATTCATAGCTACACAGTAGTAGAATCGCACTAGTATACTACTTGGACGAGGTAATTTTTTTTTTTTTTTTTAAATTTCCCAATTTCTTAGGGTTTATAGCACTGACAGTGTGCCTTAGTTAATGTTTTTACGATTTGTGGTTCTTGAAATACGTTACATCTCCTCTCTGCAGTAACATTTTGTACAAAGATCGACAATTGAACCCGGTGACTCCTTTCAGATATGGTGAGTGTTTCTTCCATGCACTGAATTAATTATGTTTTTTTTTTTTTTTTTTGGTTGGTTTGTTTCAATGGACTTGTTTTATTT